TTTTTATAGATAATCTGTAATAGCTAACGGGTATCAAAGTAATGCCACAGTGTCCCAGTGTGTTTTGTTACCCAAATTTATTCCACGCAGAATAATGACATTCCTAGAAGAAAGAAAACTGTAAAGGGTTTGAAAATTGAAGATAAGAAATTTTTTTAACAATTCCAATTATACTGGAAAAACAGATGAATTAGAAGCACATATGTTGTTAGTGGGTCACACTGCGTGAAGTGTGAATGAGGGTGTGAATTTGGGCCCCGCAGGAAACACACCCGATCCACGGTGAGGGCAGGTGATTAGACCAGAGGCGGTCTGGCCCTGCTCTGAGGCAGACAGGAGACATAGCACATGACGATGCCTGGGCAGGCGCTGTCAGCTGGTGCCTGATGACAGCGTTCCCCGCTTTGCCCTGACCTGGGATGTGGGGGAGTGTCCCCACTGGTCCCTGCAGCTGGAGACTTATTTCCTTCTCTTTCACATTCCCCCGGCCCGAGGGAAAGGACACACATCAGCATGGTGGTTAGATTATCATTCACTCGCACCCACCAGATTTCACTGTAAAGCTGCCAGGATGGCCTTCAGCTTCAGGTGTTTAAACGGTAGGCAGAGTTTTGACGATTCACCCGAAGAGACAGTTGCTCAGACAGAGCTCCAGGTTAGCTGGCGTTGGATGAACACTGGAGCTTCACAAGTAAGGAAGCTGGTGAACACGTGGCAGTCCTCTGCTGTACTGGGGAGGGAGGGGAACAGAGGACAGTGAGGCGGAAAGCAGGGCCAGCCTGGGGATTTCCCTGCTTCTTTTCTAAGTTCACACGCTCTCCTGCCAGCGGGGAAGCAGGGAGCCAGGCCTGCTGGGCCTTCGGTTCCGTGAGGAGGTATCTGGAGGTGGATGAGGGGCACAAGCCCTACAGGCGGGGTCCCTACCCCCCCAACGCCCAGACCCCCAGGGGAAGCGGGAGTGGTGCACTCGGCCACCCCGAGACCGAGGCAGGCATGAGCTACCCTCAGAGCGGCCACGGGGCTGCAGCAGTGGTGAGCCGCTTTCCGGGCGGGGCTGGTGAGCATCCCGGAGCCCCCGCTACTTCAGGACTTTGACAATGTTCAGTTAGATAACTAAACGGAAACGGACAGCCTTCCCTTTTCCCCCTTCCTCAATAAGTGCACACGCTATCACACCTGTCCGACACCCACCAGTCTGGTTTCAATCTGTGGCTGTAGTCTTGGGATTCTGGCAAATTCTCTTTCCCTCTCTCCAACAAGGATGGCTGGGTCCTTGGGACTAAACGTAGCCAGATAAAACGCCTCTGTATTACTGTGCAGGGTCAAACCGGCAGAACTTAGCATCTATGCAGGGCAAAGTGTAGAGGAAGTGACATTGCCCCAAACCCAGGGAATCTGGGCTCACTTATGACCTTTTACCCAAGATCAGCGCTTTCCAGATTACCTGGGCCCAGCTCCCTGTGTGCAGAGGCAGCCCCCTCACTAAGTCAGATACGTGGTTTGGGCTGCGTGCCCCTTCCTTGAAGGCCCCTCTTTAGTACTCTGTGGCTGGACCCGACTCCAGACTCCGACCCCAGTTTCCTGCAACACTGTGGGTTGGTACCTACGGCCCTGGGGGTGGTAGGTGGGAGAGGCGGCAAGTTTGCTAACTTATCACTCGCTGTTTCTCTTTGGAAGCACTTCTCTGAGCCTTGTGACCCCACTGAGGCCACCACTGAGCAGGAGCCACTTCGAGACCGCCCTCTGGCTGGGGCCAGGGCGGAGAACCTCGGGATGATCTGCAGAAGAGCGAGCCAGGAGGACATGGGCCTGGACGACACCGCCTCGCAGCAGAGCGCTTCAGACGAGCAGTAGCGGAGCCGCGGGGTTGGGGAGGGGCCGCGTGGTCGGGGAGGGATGGAATTTCCAGTTTTCTTTTTCTAAAAAGAACGGATGATGCGACCCTGGAGCTGTCCTGCAGAATCTGAGAGCTGTGCAGAAAACAAACTTTCTCTTGGGTTCTCGAAAAACATCTCACCTGACGCAAACAGGTCTTGACATCAGGCCTCCTTGCTGCCAAGCACGGCCCTGGGCGCTCGCGGCCCCAGAGCGGGGTACGCGGGAGGCACAGAACACTTTCTAGTACTGGAAAATTCAAACAAAAGCCATGTAACATCTTAAGACATCTCAAGTAGAGCACATAAATAAGTCTTTCCCGCCCTGAGGAACTTAGACCGCTGCATGCTGAACAACTGGCATTTTAGGCGTTACGGTGACCGAGCCCACGCAGCACATATCACGCCATCAGCTGGTCAAATGCGCCGATGTTCAATCTACGTTTAGAGAAAAATCTCACTTCTTTATAATATTCATGCAGATGTTAAGCTTCACTGCAAGGAACGTGATGGAGCATGCAGTCACGTCCAAAGCATCCTATGGAAGAAGCCAACCGTCCCCAGCAACGTGAGCGCAGAAGTCTAGTCCGCGCGGGGCGTGGAGAGCCACCTCGGAATGATGTGCTTACTGCAGCCAGAGCGCCTTCCTGCCGGAAGCCAGGCCCTGGCTCGCCGGGGCTCCTGTGTACTTCCCAGGAACGTAGGCTTGTTTCCAAGCCAGGCAATCCTTACTGTGTCACAGGACACTTGCACACACCCTTGTTTTTGGAATTAAAATGTTTTTAGTTATTGCTGTGTCCAGTTGTTTGACTTCTGCTGAAACTTGTCATTTCTTTAAAAAAAAATCTACCCTTTACTATAAGAATGGTATTTGGGCAAATTCTAAATTCTAAGACTTTTCTCATCTTAAGATTCCCATTGGGTAGAGCAGAAACCTGGCCTCTCACTGACGTGAGGGAGGAGGAAGGGTTCCCAGAACAGAGTCCATAGAAAACACCATCACTGACCTGATGAACCATCCTTTTTGGAAACATAATAGTTAGAGATGCTCAATTTGGAAACAATCATACACATTTCTTAAGGGTATCTAGGATCTGGAAGTGTCGGCAGGAGGGTATTGCAGAGAATTCCTTACCCCTTGGAAGTAGACAGCAATTTTTTCTTTCTGTAACATAAGAATTAGCAATTAATAACCGTATGTGGGCTCTGTAATCAGAGAAATGGTGCATCATTCTCAAATCAGCAATCCCTGGAGATGCACACTTGGTGATTTCTGCTTGAGATGCAGGTGTTTGTCGAAAGAGAACCTGCTAGAACCTCACCACAGTTCTCTACGTTGGTCTGACCAAATCTGGCTGGAGGTTCCTGAAATTCTCTTGGGTGACTTGGCAGCCAAGCCTGCAGGACGGAATGACAGCCCTGAGCTGTATGACCTCCCAGAGAGGGGGTCTACTCGAATTAAGTGAGAAAATGACCCAGGCCCAGCAACATTCAGCCCTTGGGCCTCCAGAAGTAAGAAACACAGTCACTGTTTCCAGCCATGCAAATGAGGTGGCCAACGCATCCTGGGTTCCCCTACATCTCGTTCCGAGGAGGCAGTAGCAGAAGAAAAGGTGCAGTTTATCGACAGGTCAGACTCAGACGGGGATGCCACTCTCTGTGTTGGCCACGGCAATAGAGAAGGAGCCGCCCCGAGTGTCCCTGCTGAGTGTGCACACACGTAGACCCACGGGTCCCCGCTCCCGCGGAGAGCACTGCCAGACCCCCTCCGGGACTGCTCCTGGCTGTCAACAGCGCAACACGTGGTTTTCATAAGCGTTGTAAACAACTTCTATACTTACAACTCATGAGCTTAATAATCTGATCCGCAGCCAGTGAGCTGTTTGTCAGAGTACTCCTTGGAAAATACTGTATTATTAGTCCCCATCTAAAGGGGATGTTCCTAAGGCGAGGTTTCTTGCCGGAGTCCTTCAAATGTTTTGCACGAATACAGCTAAAGAATTATTTATTTTCTACATTCGGGCACCAAACAAAATTGCTTCTCCTCTAATAATAATCTAAAAACTGCAGGGCTTGACTTTCTATCATCACGTGGCTAACCTGGCATTACTGGTTCTAAATTTTGTGCTGTGTGTTCAAACCACCTGTCTGGCAAGTTGTTTTCTAAAACTGCCGAATTCTGGCCCATAAAATGGGCGATGCAAAGCCTGTTCACTTCGCCCTCCCCTGCTGGCTCCACCTTTCTGCTTTGTCCCAGGTCATCGTGCTTTGGGGACACAAGCATCTGCCCTCAACATACACACACACACACACTTGAGATCTTCTCAGACACAACCTTCTATGAACACAGAGACAGACAGGAAGAGAAAGGGGGCAAGGCTCACCCCTTTTTCTGGGCTACCATTGCCCCCTTGCTTTGCACTCAGCAAACTTGCAACTTTCCAGGGTCCTCTTCCTGCAGCCACGATCTTCAGAGAGATCACATTCTGTGCATTTCAAAGACCTCACAGGGCAGAAGGGGTGACAGAGCTCCCCAGGGTCTCTTTTTCAAGGACACTAGTCCCCTTCATGACGGCCCCACCGTCCTGAGCTAATCACCCCAAAGGCCCCACCTATGACACCACCACACTGGGGGTGAGACTTCCATGTGAATTTGCAGGGGACGCATTGAGACCATATATTATTGTTCATTACATTTCATTTCTGAAGGCACAGGGGAAGCATGTGACATCGTCACACATGCTCACTGATCAGTCTATTTGACAAAGTAACACAATAGTCACCCAAGCATCTCGCCACTGCCGACCCTCAAATGCTCTCTGATTTATTGCAGCTACCCCTTCTCGCAGCTAAACGTCGGCCCTGAGATCTGGGAGCACGTGAAGCCAGGGAGCCCAGGCAGTGGGGGACCGCGGAGTGAGCCACGCAGACTCTGGCTCACAGCCTATAACTGGCGGCACGGGCTCGTTTCTTTACCAGGGGAGGAACGGGTGGCAGGGGCCATCCTGTACGTACAGTGGGTCCCTCTGACGATATCCTGCCACCCTCACCCTCCACCAGCACGTCTGGCTTCAGCTCTAAGCACCCCTTTCCTTCTAATTAAGACGGTGTCAGACTACTCAACAGTCAGGACTGAAACTCTGAGCTCAAAGGACAAACAGCAGAAGGAAAACGGCCTTTTACGCCTGGACGGACGCGAGCCCTTGTAAACAGTCCCCTCGGGGGGGCCGCCGAGGCCCCCTCCTGATGGGGGGCCCGTGCCGGCGGGAGACGACTAGCGGGCAGGCCTGGGCACGGGCGGCACGGAGACCACATCTCCCCGGCCTGCATCCCTCTTCCTCAGCTCCCTGAGGGCTGCTCGGGGCTCACTCAGGGCTGTGGGAGTCGGAGGAGAGTGGGTTTACAGCAGGGCTCAGGTTCCCAGGCCTTCGTGAGAAGCCTCGACCCGCTTCAGAGGCCGCGGGCATCCCACCACATGAGGGTCGCACACCCTCCTGCAGGCAGTGCCATCCTGTCCCGCTGAGTCACACCTGCCTGTCAGAGGTCACTAGGCCGGCCTCCCGGACAGCTCGGCCAGGCAGGGACGGCGGGATGGGGACGCCCCCTTCCTCTCCCTGGACAGGCACCCTCTGTGAGGAGTGAGTCCCAGCCTGGAAGATCCTGCTCAGCTGTGATCCCTCAAAGGCCTGGCCAGCGCACCCCAGGCCTCCAGGAGCGCCCCCAACCCCCGGGGGGGCAGCTGTTCTCCTTTGTGAGTTTCAGCAGTCTTTCCCACGGTGCCCTGCCCGACCGAACCTTCTCTCTGCACCCCAATCCCCGACCCCGGGCGCTCTCCAGGGTGTCCAGGCTGATGGTGGGTTCCTTCCAGGCTGGGGTGGCGCCTTCCTTTGAAAGTGCCCACTTCCCTCTTTTTCTGGAAGGGAAACCGGGCACGGAAAGGTTTAAGAATGTGCCTACATTAATGGGGCCAAAGTGGGGTTCCGATCTTCACCCACAGGCCCAAGCCCTCTGCGGACCAAATGCTACCAAGACTTCACCCCTCTGGCACAAGGACCTGCATGTCTGCCACCACCACGTTTATCTTCATTTTATTAAGCAATAATCAAACAAATAAACAATGAGATGGGTGAGGGGAGGACCTGAAATTTTTTTTAAATACTAATTTTTTAAAAAATCAAATAACTGTTACCATTCTGCACGGCACGAGGCTGCAGCTGCTCCTGGAGGGGTTCAACTCTCATGACATGCGAAACTGATTAAGCCGTGAACTCTTTTCTCCCCCTTCCCTGAACACATTTATAAACTTCAATGAGAGCCAATTCCACCTAATACTCCGAAAACCATTTCTCATTTCGTAATTTGCCCAAATCATACGCACAATTGCAAGAGGAAATAAACAGAAATCTCTCGGCATAAATAAGCCACGATGGGTTGTTAATCTTGTGGAGCTGATCCAGCATTAAGGCTCATTTGATCCTTTAAACATTTTATGGAGAACAGCTGTCGGGCTTTCTCTGGCAGAGCCTCACGAAGCCCAGGGCGGAAACCCTGGCGGGCGGGGCAGGGGCGCCACTCCAGCTGGCACGTGTCTCGCGGGCAGAGCAGCAGCAGCAGCGGGTCACCCTCACTTCCCGCCACTCTGCACGCACGCCACAATCTCTGGCAAAAGGTGGTTTCTGTTTTCCTTGGTGACCTGTGGGCAGAAGCAAGAGAGCAGGCTTCAGAGTCCCCTTCCTTGTCCTCCGTTACCTACTCTGACAGGTAATACTCCAGAAGAGCCCGGAAGACGGGGTGTGAGCCTACCCTGAAAGCAGGCCGGGGTGCTCCAAGCCCACCCCCGCAACCGGCTTCCATGAAGTGACGGCTGAAAAAGTGGAAAGGGTCTGGGTGACTGAGGGATTTTAACCATGGAAAGAGCTAAGAATCGAGCCTGGTGTGAGGCACTCTGGGAGGGGTGGCGGGAGTGCAGGCGGGGACCCGGCCCGAGTGCCACCTGACCCGAACAGAACAGAAGGAAGGCCTGAGTGAAGCCGGGGGAACCGCCCTCTGGGTGGGCCCCCTGAGAGTGGCCGCACTGGCGCTGAGTCACACCTAGAATTCTAGAATCTTCCCAAGGTCAGTAATCTGCTCATCTCTCCCTGAACTTAGACCTGATCACCTCTGCACTGGAAAGATGAGGAAGATTTTCCTCAGAGTCCAGAGGTCACTGGGGCCACAGGAGAGGCGAGAAGTCAGGCCTCCGGACCCCAGACCCCTTGTGCTATCTCTGTAAATAGTACCATTACACAAACAAACCCAAAGTAACAGTTCTTTCAGGCTCCACCTGAGGATCTGTGTCTTATCTTTCCTTCTCTCACTGCACAGGCCCAGGGAGTGGGGCTGAGGCATTCAGAGTCCCGGGAAGGGAGCCGGACAGTGGCTGTTCCCCAACTGAGCGCAGGGCCATCTCTTCCCCCATCACCTGGGCCTTCCCGTTCCGTCCACACAGCACAACACAACACACACGGACGGTGGTGTGGGCGGGGATGGCGAGGTGACCCAGACCAGGACTGGGACCCTGCGGAGCTCGCAGACAGGATAGAGGGGCAGACATAACAGCAGTGACAGCCGTGCTGGCACAGGGTCTCTGAGAGAGGGGGTGCTCTCCCCACTTCAGGAGCCGGTCCCGTCCCCACAGCCCAGACTCGCACACCTGTTAGCCGGGTGCCGCTGCCCTCCCCCTGGCATGACCGACTTCCTCACCTGGAATTTCTCCCGCCTTTCCCCACACCCACCCGATTTTCTTGAGAAAGGGGAACCAGCCTCACGTGTGCCTGTATCACAGAATAAGCATCAGATGCAAAGGATGCTCTCAAAACGAATTCAGGGGACTCTGCTGCATATTAAAAAGGGGCAGCACCAAAGAAATACCTCATCCAACCCCTAAACTTGCAGATTAGGAGAATGAGGTTCCTCATTTATAAAACACGCACAGAAGGATCACACGAGCTGCAAAGGAGCAACACAGACAATGACAAC